GCCCCGGAGCCTCCCTGGAGCTATCGCGCTAATGTGTGATATATTAGACCGGGGCATTAGTCTATGGAGTTCAGCCTACTGGGGACCACTCAGAGGTTTCAGGGAGCAATGACCCTGGACCCCCCCCCCCCCGGTGGTTGGGGGGTTTCCTTATCCGCTATCGACCGGGATTAGGCACCCAGAAAGGTAGGCATAACAAAACATATCCCACATGGTAAGAAAAGTACAACTATAAATTAAAAAAAAAGGGGCAGAACTCCCTTCAGTCCCAAGGAAACAAGCAAACGTCACGCTCCACTGTTGTGGCGCTCGTCTGGGCAGCCCTCCCCTCCCCAAGAGGGGGAGCTGGGGGAGTCACGGACTTCCCTGTGCTGGCTGCCCAGCACTCCAGTTCGAAAGCTAAGCATCAAACAACGCAAAAAAAATGCCGACGGGAGGGAGGGAGGGTTGCCAGGGAGCCTCTGGGGCTCACCCAGAAAATGGTGTTTCATTACATTCAATGCTGGTTTTCTGTGGGGGAGCTCCTTTGGCTCCCTGAAGCTACATAACCAAAAATAATAAAAAAAGAAACTTACCTGGGAGGCGGCTGCCACACACACTCCTCAATGTGAAGTTGAGACAACAGGCTGCAACCTGCGACCCAAAGCAACACAGGAACACCCAGGAGCAGGAACATTAACCAAATAATGGGCAGCCAGGACCCTGTTCGACCTCCAAAATCCCCGTGCCCGAATATCAGTCCAGGACATGTTGCCAAATACAGCAGCCAGTGCAGCAAACCATCTACCGGCATGGACACGAGGATAGACCACAGGCTGGATAGACTTAATAATCCTGTGGAGGACCTGAGAGACCTGAACCCTGGAACAGGGAACGAGAGAAATCAGATCAACCCAAAGCATATTCGCAGCCACCGAAGCCGAAGCATGCAGGTAACTGCGAAGAACCTCAACCGGACACAACGCGTGATGCACACCCGGCCTGATCAACCAAGTATCAATGATCCAAGGACCCCTCCGGAAAACAGCCATCTCATTCTTCGCCAGAAAAGGAGAAGGCTGCAACCAAACAAACCGACCACCAGGACTGAAAGAGCAGAAACCCCTGCGCCGGAGGAGAGAATGTAGCTCACCGACCTGACCCCCAGAGACCAATGCCAACAGTAACAGAGCCTCGGAAAAACAAACTTGAGGGCTAGTTTGTAGTGCTCCCTTCGGTTCAAGATTGTTTTTCCGAGGCTTTGTTACTATTGGCATTGGCCTCTGGGGGTCGGGTCAGTGAGCTACATTCTTTCCTCCGACGCAGGGGTTTCTGCTCTTTCGGTCCTGGTGGTCGGTTTGTTTGGTCAAACCTTCGGCCGGTTTGTGTGGTCAGAGAGAAGTAACATCCACCCCGAACACAAGCTAGAGTGGCTCCACCAGCACCACACGAGATGAGGCGATAGTATTAGGCATTAAATAATGGTCCTGAAAAGCCAAAACAGAAAGGACAAGACAACCTACAAAGAGAGAAAGAAAATGGCGGAAAGAACGCCAGAAAACTTCATACTGTCGTCAAGACAAAGCTCTCAGGTGGAACACCATCAATGAAGCCACCTGACCACCATACAATTGGTGATAAACCCACATCAAAAAGACCAGACGTGAAGAGCGGAGGAGGAGGAGAAGACCAGATCAGTGTACTGTACAGGTCCAACCAGCTGGAAAAGGTGGAACCGTGGAAAACACCCCGGGGTTCGCACACCGAGCAAGCAGTGCCTGGAACCAAGGCTGGGCTGGCCACTAAGGGGCCATGAGGACTTCTCTCCCTTGGTAGAACGCCAACTGAAGTTCTGTTCTCTCGTCCAGAACCTGAAGCAACTGCTGGACTGGGGGAAAGAGGTATAGGTAACCCCACCTCGACCAGTCCCTCCAAAAGGCGTCCACCATGACAGCCTCACAGTCGGGAAAGGGTGCCGTGTAGATCGGGAGATGCTGAGACCACGCTGACGCGAACAGGTCCACGTCCGGGAGTTTGTACTGCCGGGAGAGCCAACTGAAGGAGTTGGCTTCAACCATCCAATCTGTGGACAGAGGAATGAACTGGGACAGGCAGTCTGCCAGGACGTTGGACACTCCTCGGATATGAATCGCACGGAGAGCCAAACCCCCCGAGAAGCAAGCAGACGAGCCACTTGAAGTGACCTGTCTCAAAGAGGTAAGGACCGAAGGGAACGGGATATGTTTTGTTATGCCTACCTTTCTGGGTGCCTAACCCCGGTCGATAGCGGATAAGGAAACCCCCCAACCACACGGGGGGGGGGGGGGGGGTCCAGGGTCATTGCTCCCTGAAACCTCTGAGTGGTCCCCAGTAGGCTGAACTCCATAGACTAATGCCCTTCGGTCCTTACCTCCATGGTTCAGACAATGAACCACTGGAGAACAGTCTGAATGGAGCTGAATGGTTGAACCCCGAGCGACCCAAACCCTCTGAAGCGAAAGTCAAACCGCCTCAAACTCCCACGTTGTGCTGTTAGCCCGATGGGAGGACGGAATCCTATCGCCCCTGGCCGGCCTGGAGAGCACTGTCGAGAGACGACTCGTTCATGAACATGTCGAGCGAGGGCTCGGGTAGGTGCCAAGGCACTGAACCCCCAAACCCCCGAAGAGGAAGCTAGCGGCGAAGCTAGCGTCATGCTTGTTAGTTCGTTTTCCTGGGGGAGTTCTGTCCACTCGTTTGTCGATTTTTGTTGTTAACCAGAATAGGGGTTTGTTTTGTGGCGCTTACCTTTCTGGGTGCCTGTCCCGGTCGATGGCAGATATAGAATGCTCCAAATCACATGTGCATTTCTATGGGCCATTGCTCCCCGTGCCTCTCTGAGGGGGGCCAGGTTCTGGCTCGTGGTCCCCGGTAGGCCTAGAACTCCACCCACATCGACTGATGCAAAATAGTTAGGGTATCCATATCAGCCATGGATAGCTCCGGGGAGCCTCCGGGACTCACCCAGAAAATTGTGTTTCATTACATTCAACGCTGGTTTTTTTCCTTGCTGTTTGCGGGGTTTGCGGTTGGGCTGTTTCTGCAAGCGGATTCTTCACGTTGTCATCCGTTATCAGCCTTGTTGGTCCTTCAAGGGTCCTGGGGGGGATCCTCCCGGACAGGGCCTGTCTGCTCGCCCTGGGTTGGTTCTTTCCCAGCTCACCAGGTTCGGATTCCTGGTGCCCTGCTGGATATTCCATCTGGTTCCCTGACAGCCTTGGTTTCAGGTGCTGCTTACTTGGTGTCTGTCTTGCTTTATTATTGTAGGGGTTTCACACGGCTCCGCCTCTTTCAGATGCTCGGTCCAATCCTTTACGGGGCTGGTTTGGTCTTCTCCTCAAGCCTTCGCGTCTGGTGATTTTGACTCGAGTCTATCACCTCCTGTTGGTGATCAGGTGGCTTCGTTGATGGCCTCCCACCTGCGTACTTCATCGAGGTGGCAGTATGGGGTTTCCTGGCGGTCCTTCCTTTTTCTTTTTGCCTCTTCATAGGTATACTTTGCTTTTTGTTGAGGTGGTCTTGTTCTTTTCTCTCATGGTTGTTTCAGGACCGTCTTCGTATGCCGCATTCTGTTGCCTCGTATCGTGCAGCGCTGGCAGAGCCGCTATGGCTTGCTTTCGATTTTGATGTTCCTTTTGCACTGTTTCGCAAGCTGTCTCGGGCGTTGTTTCACCTCTGGCCTGCTCATGCGCCGCCTGAGCCATCGTAGTCTTTGGACACAATGCTCTTATCTCTTTTCCTCGGTTTGTTGTAGCCCCTTTGGTTCTAGAATGATTCTCAGAGGTTTCTGCTCCTTTGGGTTCTGGTGTTAGGTTTATTTATTGCAGCCATTCTTCTTTTTCTGGCGAGGTTGGGTCGGCTGTTTTTCCGAAGGAGTCCCTGGGGTGGTTACTTGGTTGGTTTTGGCCAGGGGTGCATCTTCTTGTGTCCGGTTGTGACTCTCGGGCATTGCCTGCGTGCCATGGCCTCTGTGGCCATAGACACGCTTTGAGTTGCCCGGGGCTCCCTTCGTCCCTGTTCTGGGGTTCAGGTCTCCCGGGTCGTCTGCGGGGTCCTTTCGGTGTTGCCTGTTGTCTTGCTTTGGGGGTTTTTAAGTGCGGGGTTTCCACCTACCGGGCTTGTCTCTCTTTTGTCCGTGGCTTTGGGTAGGTAGCTGCAGGGAGCCAAAGGGGCTCCCCACAGAAAACCTGTGTTCAATATAATGAAACACCATTTTCTGGGTGAGACCCGGAGGCTCCCCGGCAACCCTCTCTCCCCCCAGTCAGTGGGGTCGTGTTTTGACATCCAGCCTCGAACTGACAGGTGGATAGCCGGCGCGACGAGTCTGGGGCTTCCCCTTTCCCCTCCCAGGGCGGGGGAGCTACGCAGACAAGCGGCGCGACAAGTATGACGTCATGCTCGTTTGCTCGTTTTTCAATTAGGGAGTTCTGTTTACTTGTTAGTTTTCTGTAGTAGTTTTAACCAGATTAGGGGTTTGTTTTGGGGCGCCTACCTTTCTGGGTGCCCTGCCCGGTTGATGGCAGATGCAGAATGCTCCACACACGGGACACCACGAGCATAGCTCTCGTCCTGCAACTACACTTAATTACACATGTGCATTTCTATAGGCCATTGCTCCTCATGCCTCTCCAGGTTCTGGCTCGCCCCCGGTAGGTCTAGAACGCCATTCACACTGACTGATGCCAGTCTAATAATATACATATCAGCCTGGATAGCTCTGGGGAACCTCTGGGTCTCACCCAGAAAATGGCATTTCAGTACATTCAACGCTGGTTTTTTCTTATTCATCTCATTGTAGTACTTTCATATAGTTGTGTAGTCCAAGGAAGGTTATGTAGTTAATCATCCTATTAGGGAGGTTAAAATCACTATCAGGCTTTGGCATCTGTTCCATCACCATTTACTAGGAAATACAATGGGATAGTGAAGTACAAAAGTGTTTTGTTCAGTGCAAATATTACTGTAAATCTTTCTTTGTACAGTCATTCCTCACTTGATCCTGGAAGACTTGGCTGCAGGCTTTGATCTTCCTTGTGTGGCAGACATCAAAATGGGCAGTAACTTCTACTACCCAGGCCAAGAAAAGAATAAACAAAGGGTAGGTACCAGCTATTTTTTTACTCTTCAATATAAAGTATAGTTATAAGGTACAGAGGCTATCAGTGACTTGGAAAAAATTGCCAAAAAGTTTGAAGTGTTGGATAAATTAGGGTTGTGTTCTGTATTGATAGTTTCCTCTCTTCATTATCTAGCTACTGTAGCATTCCAAATACCCCGTCGGTGTGCTATGAAGCTTGTCCTAGCTACACTGCATTAAAGATATTTCTCTCGAGTTATTCCTTGCCTTTGGCTATCATGCTTGTATACTTAACCCTTAACACTATCGCTCGCTTTGGACACCGATCACGTCTATTTTTTTTCTCTTGAGTCCTAGCCGTGGACAGGACTCGCATCCATAACAAAAATATTTGTATAAAATTCATTTTTTATCCGATCGACCTCGGGGTAGTTTCAAAATACACGCCTTTAGAATGCGCACAATTTGATACCAGAATGAAAGATGTAACACGAAACTTGATGTCAGAACACTTGAAAGATTATAAATACGTTTTTGGGTCTAAATTTGAATTTTTAAATATTTGTTAAAATTCTATTTATTGTGCCATTATTATGGAACTAGTTTTAAAATGCGTGCCTTTATTAAACTGCACAAAATGTCATATGAAGTGTGACATTGAGCTCAGTTTCTTAAATTTTCTGAAACTCTTTCAAATGTTTTGTGCATAATCTACTAGGCAAATGCTCCAACTTTGTCTAAATGATACCAGTGTAACTTGAAAAACAAGAAAATAAAAAATAATTATAAAATTGAATATTGAAAACTTCACATTTTGAAATCGGCTGCAAAAATATAAAATATCACCAACTGTTCATTTGGTGTTGTTATGCTCTCAGAATAGCATATGATCTTCATTTTCATATATTTAGAATATAGGTTTTCAGTATAGTTTACTGTAAAAAAAAAATTTGTCTATGGCATTTGAAATATGCACAAATTTAGACAACAAAAATATATAACTCCAAACGTTTAGAGTTTATGAAAAATTAATTCTATAGGGATTGTAGAACAGACAGCTGTGCACACTATATGTAAAAATGGTGAGAATCGGTCAGAAACTAGATTTTTGGATACTGAAGTAAGTTGAAATTCTAGTTATAGATATAATTGAAGTTGAAGTTATTGACAATGAATAAGGCAGTTCTAATTCATGAATTTACTTGTATGTTGTAATAAACATTGTTTGGCATTCATACTGGAATATGTGAAAGTTGTAGGTCAATGTGTGTTGAAATGAAGTCAAGAAAAAATAACCCCCTAAAAAACAAAATACTGTATAGGGATAATTATAATAATTATAATGATTTAGGGAAATATACCTGTATTTAGGGTATACTTTATATAAGTAAAAAAAAACCTAATCTGGTCCCTAATCATCAAAACAACCTAAAGAAACAAGGAAAATAGAGTTTGAAATCTGTGAAAAAAATCAGCCAAAAAAACAATCCAAGTTCCAAGTTCTGAGAGTTGTAACCGATATATTTGTTGACCAATTTAATTCTGGCTTCACATAGTTAGGGACGAGTATACATTCTCCAGGATGTAAAGGTTAAAACAAATTCAAATAATAAACAAAGGAGGAAAAACCTTAAACCTAAAAAAAAAATTTCCCCTAAAAAAAATATTTTTTGGACATTGTTGAAAGTAACTAATAATAACATTGGGCAATGTATTTATATGATATATAACAAAATAGAGCATAATAACATAATTAATCATTATTATTTGTGTTATGTATTACTCATCAATGCTATAAAGGCACCAGCTGTATATTGACTTTGTGGACACTTCTTACTACTATTCTTCTTCTTTGTGCGTGTCTCTTATTATTGCATTATCCATCAGTTCCAGTTAATAGGAGCTGTTTTCTTTATCAACAAAACGTTCTTTTCTTGGGGAAGCCCCTACGGCTTCCCAGAGCCTACTAGGCTCATATGCTAATGTCAGACTTTGGCATCAGTCATGTGTACGGAGTTCTTATGGGCCTACCGGGGACCACGAGCCAGAACCTTGGCCCCCTCAGAGAGGCAAGGGGAGCAATGGCCTATAGAAACCCCCGTGTGATTGGAAGCATTCTATGTCTGCCATCGACTGGGTTAGGCACCCAGAAAGGTAGGCGTCCGAAAACAAAACCCTATTCTGGTGAAAATTGCTACCAAAAGCCGAGCGAGTGGATAGAACTCCCCAAACAAAAACGAGCAAACTAGTATGACGTCACACGTCGTCCTACCACTGTCTGCACAGCTTCTCCCTCCCCAGGAGGGGGAAGGGGTAGCCCCAGACCCACTGAGCCGGCGATCCACACCCCAGTTCTTGAGGCTGATGCTATCGGCTTGGTTGTGTGCTCTGGCTCCGGTCTTTTTGTGGCGCTGTGCCTTGTGTGTGGCGGCTGTACTCCAGGGGTGAGAGAGCCAGGAGTTATTCTTCAGTACTCAGGCTGCATGTGCTTAGGGTTCCCTACCCTAGGTGCCTTGTAAGTACTGCCCTTGGAGCTTGGGGTTACCTTCCACAAGTTCCTCGAGGTCTGCCTCTGTGTGTCCGTTTTACTGCTCGGTTTCCCGGCCTCCCTTTGGGTACTTGGGTGTTTTGTCTACCTAGTTTACCTTAGGGTAGGAGGCAGTTTTGCACTGGTAACGGGTGCAGGGTGCTGTGCAGTTTGTTGTCACCTATCACAGCGGCCGGCTCTGTTCCTTGGGGTACGTTGTCCTCTTGCGGGGTTCTATTTTTCTTTTTGCCATGGTAGAGGGTTCTGCCCTACTTGCCACTGGTGTTTGACCTCATCCTGATACTCGGTGGTGCCCCCCTGCTAGGTCCCCGTGAGCGTACACGTCCCTAGGGTTCAACTGTAGACAGTTTGTTTGGTAGTTTTGGGTGCCGGTTAGCAGTACCCTGCCTGGGTTTACCTGGGCGCGAGTCCTCTTATAGTAAATGCTCGGGACCCTGGGAATCTCTTTGGGGACGCGTGGGTCCGATGGATGTGACCCCGGAGTCCCCCCTCACTTCATGCGAGTTTGAGGGTTGTTCGGTCCCCTTGTTTCAGGGCGACGCTCACTGTTTTTGCCACCGTCATGCAGCCTGTTGGGTCGGTAACACTTTCGACCCTGAGTCCTGTGAGCATTGCTGCTTGCTGGTGACCTAATTTACCCAATCTGAGGATGATCATCTTCGGGTACAGGCTGCGCAGGCGTTGCATTCTAGGCTTCGTTTTTTGCAACGCGCTCGGTTGGTTGCTCATCCGGATGCCCCACAGCTGCCCCGTTTTGCCTATAGAAACCCGGACTTGGGGGTGGGGGTCGCTTCGACCCTGGTTCAGTCTGCACCTCCTAGTCCTTCCCCTTCTGTTGTTCATTCTGGTCCCCCTCCCCTGTTTTCGGCCCCGAAACGTCGGAGGGTTTCGGAGTCGGGGCAGGGGTTAGTTGGTCTTGAGATTTGGGCAGCCTCGGGGGATGCCCCTTCCGGTGTGGCGACGGAGGCATTCGAGTCTCCTCCCCCGACCGGAGCCTCTGGGTCTGACCAATGGGCCTCATTCTAACCTTCTACGGCTGCGCCGGCCTTGTCTGGTGGGGTCGGTGCTTGGGGGGAGGACTCAGCCCCGGGTCCTGTGGAGGAGGACCCTGGGACTGGGGAGGGGCTGACTTGGGGGCCTTGAGCCTCGCTGGACCCCGCCTGGGTTTTTGTACCCTCTGAGTGGGGCTTACTGTTAAAAGGAGTGGGGTTTTCTTTTCCCCCTCTACATATGAGTTGGACTTGGTGTCTGCCCCTCCCCTAGTTCGGTTCTGTGTTCCCCTGGGTGCTTCGGCTCCATCTTTCCAGAGGTTTTCGGCTTATCACATCCAACCTGCTGCGGTGCGGGCGGCCCTTGTGGCAAACCTCTTGCGTGACCCGGATTATGCCTCGGCAATGGATCACTCGGCTTTCAGGTTTGGGACTTCGTTCCCTTTCTGGCTCTGTTACGAGGTTCCGGAGTCGTCCTGGCTGGCGGACTGTCCTGTCTGCCTTGGAAACTTGGCACTCCTTCTGCCGTTCCCGCACGCTTGAGTGGTGGAAGGCTTCGACAGTGCTTCAGGTTTTCCTGGGGAGCGACCTTGAGCACCTCAGTGAGTGCTTGTTTGCTCCTGCCCTTTCCTGGAATGTTGGTGTCATTCAGCGCCATGCGCAGGTTCCCCTCCTTTCGGCGGTGCAGGTAGCGGAGGACTTGCGAGCTCGGGGCCTTTTGGTTGCAGCTTTGCACTTCTTTTCCTTCCTGGAGCTGTCTTCCAACTGGCTCACAGAGGATGTGGGGGCTCTTGGGGCTGTTCCTGGGTCTAGCGCCTTGGCCTCACGGCTCGCTCATCGGCTGCCTTGCTGAAGCTTTTCGCGCCGATCTTGCAAGATGCAGTGGCTCTGTTTTATGCTTTCCGGCTCGTGTGTTGGCAGACGGTGCTTGCCTCCTCTGTGGAATCCGCTTGGGCCTTGGCTCTTAGGATGTCTTCCCCTTTTTGTCCTCTCTTGTTTGAGGCTTCCGCCATTGCGCGGTATATACAGGCTGCTTCGGCTTCTTGCCATCCTATATCGAACTTGCTCGTTCTCCAGGGGTCCAGTGGTGAACTTTCCCGGAAGGGTCGTGCCAAGGCTCTGGGTTCCTCTCGTCGTGGTAGGCCACCGGTGTCGGGTTCAGGTTCGGTTCCTCCTTCAGACCCCCCTTCATCTGGTCGGTGCAGTGTTCGCTCTGTGTGAGGTTCTGGGTCTCATAAGGGGCACCGGCCCTTTCGTGGTTCGCCCCATTGATGGGGCGAGGGGGGGAAGGCTTGCGCTGTTTCACGCCTGGTCCTACGATTTGTGGGCGTTTTGGGTCGTTTCGCACGGCCTCTGGTGGCGTTGGGTGGCCCCTCCCCCTGTGGGGGGTTCGGGGCTGGCAGGGCAGGCTTCTTTCCCTGTCGGGTCGTCTTGGAGAGGGTTTGCTTGGGCGTGGTCGAAACGACGACGTCACTCAGATAGGTTTCCCGTCTGTTTCCAGTCCCGAAACGAGACTGCGCGGACTTGCGGTTCATTCTGGACGTGTGATGTCTGAACCCCTGGGTTCATTGCTCCTCCTTTCGGATGACCACGCTGTCCCAGGTTTGGCTCCTGTTGGAGCCGGGCGCTTGGATGGTGTCCCTGGACCTCCGGGACGCTTATTGGCACGTCCCAATTCATCCGGGTTTCAGGGACTGGCTCGGTTTTGTTGTGGGGCTTCATGCTTACAGCTTTCGTTGTCTCCCGTTCAGTTTGAACCTGGCACCACACGTTTTCACCCACCACACGCAGGTCGTGGTGACCCGTCTGCATCTGTTAGGTCTTCGAGTGTTGGCCTACCTCAACGACCGCCTGGTTTGGGCTCCCCGCCAGTCCGCTTGTCTGCTGGCCAGGGATCTGGTTCTTTCTCAGCTCACCGGGTTCGGGTTCTTGGTGAACTGGAGGAAGTCCCATCTGGTTCCCTCCCAGGTTCGGACCTGGCTGGGCATTGTGTGTGGGACTCTCGGACCGCTTCCTTGTCTCTTCCTCCGGAGTCTCTCCTGCAGCTGCAGTCCTGCATGTGCCTTTTTCTGGGGGGTTCCCGGGTTATCCGGCGGTTGCTCGAGGGTCTGTGCGGGAGCCTGAACTTTGCGATGCTGGTCTACCCACTGGGTTGGGTTTGGCTTCATCGGCTGTTCTGGTTCTTTTGGGGACGTCCCTTCCACCTCTCTCATGATCGCTGGGTTCGGTCCCCGGGGGCTTTGCATCAGTTGCTGCGTCGCCAGCTACCTCTTCGGGTTTTTCAGGGTTCAGTGCCTTGGCGCCTACCCGAGCCTTTGCTCGATGTGTTCACGGACTCGTTGTCTCTCGGCTGGGACTTTGTGACCAGTGCTCACCAGGTCGGCTAGGGACGGTGGGGTCTGTCCTTCCGTCGAGCCCACAGCACTATGTGGGAGCTTGCAGCAGTGTGGTTTGCTATTCGAAGGCTTCTAGTCGCCTGTGGGTCGACGATCTGGCTCCATGCGCCACCTGAGCCGTCCTGGTCTTTGGACAGAGTGTTGAACCGAGGGGGGGGGGGTCGTTTTGTTGTGGTGTTTCCGGATTGTTTTTCAAAGGCTCTTTTCCTGTTGGCATTGGCCTCTGGGAGTCGGGTTGGTGAGCTTCATGATCTCCTCCGGCGCAGAGGTTTCTGCTTCGGTCGGGGAGATTGGTTTATTCGTTTGCAGCCTTCTCCTTCTTTTCTGGCAAAGAATTAGACTGCTGCTTTCAGGAGGGGTCCCTGGGTTGTTGATGCCTGGTTGGTTAGGCCTGGGGGTGCATCATGTTTTATGTCCGGTTGCGGCTCTCCACCGTTATTTGTGCGCCATGGCTTCTGTGTCCATGGACATGCTTTGGGTTGATCCAGTTTCCCTTCTTCCCTCTTCGCGGGTGTGGGTCTCCCAGGTCGCTTGCAGGGTTATTAAGGCTAGCCAGCCTGCGGTCTATCCCCATGCCCATGACATCCGCAAGTTCGCGGCTCTTGCCGCTATCTTTGGCAATATGTCCTGGGCTGACATTCAGGCGCAGGGATTTTGGCGGTTGAACGGGGTCCTGGCTGGTCGTTACCTTGTAAACGTTCCTGGGGCTCAGTCGGGCCTGTGTCGCTTTGGGTCGGTGGATGCAGCCAGTTGTCTCGACTTCGGGTTGAGGAGTGAGCAGCAACTGCCTCCCGAGTAAGTCCCTATTCTTTTCCTCTGTGGGTAGTTAGCTCCGGGAAGCCATAGGGGGCTTCCCCCAGAAAACCAGCGTTGAATGTAATGAAACGCCATTTTCTGGGCGAGTCCCGGAGGCTTCCCGGCATCCCTCCCTCCCTCCAGTCTGCGTTTTTTTCGTGTGTTTTGACATCCAGCCTCAGAACTGGGGTGTGGATCACAGGCACAGTGGGACTGGAGCTACCCCTTCCCGGGAAAGGGGGGAGCTGCGCAGACAGCGGCACGACGACAACGACGTCATATTAGTTTGCTCGTTTTTGTTTTGGGAGTTCTATCCACTTGTTTGGCTTTTGGTTGCAATTTTCACCAGAATAGGGGTTTGTTTTGGGAAGCTTACCTTTCTGGGTGCCTAACCCGGTCAATGGCAGACATAGAATGCTTCCAACCACACAGGGGTTTCTATAGGCCATTGCTCCCCTTACCTCTCTAGAGGGGGCCAGGTTCTGGCTCGTGGTCCCCGGTAGGCCCATAAAAACTCCATACACATGACTGATGTCAAAGTCTGAAATTAGCATATCAGCCTAGTAAGCTCCGGAGAGCCTCTGGGACTCACCCAGAAAATGGCGTTTCATTACATTCAACGCTTTTTTTTTTTTTTAAATATTCGTCTACAATCAATTTGGAGATTTGTTTAACATTTTTTAGTAATTTTTACATGATTCAAATATTTTTTTCAAATTACACCCCCCTTCAATGTCACACATCATATGACGTTTTGCACAGTTTAAGGGTTAACAGTTAAAACATTTGATGAATGTTGTTGTCAAATTATGTTGGATATGGAAACAACACACATTTACTCTCTTGACTTAATTTGTCGTACATTGTTGCTGTGACTTGTAACTTTGGGCCTTATTTGTTGGGAATATTGATTTTTGTGCTAAATATATTGTCCAGTGAAATATTCTGTCCAATAATTTGTAATAATATAACTTTAATTATTAAAAAGATATGGGAATATATTAGTGAATTATGAGAGATTTAAAGCTCTCCCTCATTAAATACAGCCTCTCCCTCATTAAATACAGCCCACCCTCATTAAATACAGCCCACCCTCATTAAATACAGCCTCTCCCTCATTAAATACAGCCCACCCTCATTAAATACAGCCCACCCTCATTAAATACAGCCCTCCCTCATTAAATACAGCCCACCCTCATTAAATACAGCCCACCCTCATTAAATACAGCCCTCCCTCATTAAATACAGCCCTCCCTCATTAAATACAGCCCTCCTTCATTAAATACAGCCCTCCCTCATTAAATACAGCCCACCCTCATTAAATACAGCCCTCCCTCATTAAATACAACCCTCCCTCATTAAATACAGCCCTCCCTCATTAAATACAGCCCTCCCCTCATTAAATACAGCCATCCCTCATTAAATACAGCCCTCCCTCATTAAATACAGCCCTCCCCTCATTAAATACAGCTCTCCCCTCATTAAATACAGCCCTCCCTCATTAAATACAGCCCTCCCTCATTAAATACACCCCTCCCCTCATTAAATACAGCCATCCCTCATTAAATACAGCCCTCCCTCATTAAATACAGCCCACCCTCATTAAATACAGCCCACCCTCATTAAATACAGCCCTCCCTCATTAAATACAGCCCTCCCCCTCATTAAATATAGCCTCTCCCTCATTAAATATAGCCTCTCCCTCATTAAATACAGCCTCTCCCTCATTAAATACAGCCTCTCCCTCATTAAATACAGCCTCTCCCTCATTAAATACAGCCTCTCCCTCATTAAATACAGCCTCTCCCTCATTAAATACAGCCTCTCCCTCATTAAATATAGCTTCTCCCTCATTAAATATAGCCTCTCATTAAATACAGCCTCTCCCTCATTAAATATAGCCTCTCCCTCATTAAATACAGCTCTTCCCTCACTAAATACAGCCCTCCATCATTAAATACAACCCTCCCTCGTTAAATATAACCCTCATTAAATACAGCCCTCCCTCATTAAATACAGCCCACCCTCATTAAATACAGCCCTCCCTCATTAAATACAGCCCACCCTCATTAAATACAGCCCTCCCTCATTAAATACAGCCCACCCTCATTAAATACAGCCCTCCCTCATTAAATACAGCCCTCCCTCATTAAATACAGCCCTCCTTCATTAAATACAGCCCTCCCTCATTAAATACAGCCCACCCTCATTAAATACAGCCCTCCCTCATTAAATACAACCCTCCCTCATTAAATACAGCCCTCCCTCATTAAATACAGCCCTCCCCTCATTAAATACAGCCATCCCTCATTAAATACAGCCCTCCCTCATTAAATACAGCCCACCCTCATTAAATACAGCCCTCCCTCATTAAATACAGCCCTCCCCTCATTAAATACAGCCATTCCTCATTAAATACAGCCCTCCCTCATTAAATACAGCCTTCCCTCATTAAATACAGCCCTCCCCTCATTAAATACAGCCATCCCCTCATTAAATACAGCTATCCCTCATTAAATACAGCCCTCCCTCATTAAATACAGCCCTCCCTCATTAAATACAGCCCTCCCCTCATTAAATACAGCCCTCCCCTCATTAAATACAGCCCTCCCTCATTAAATACAGCCTCTCCCTCATTAAATACAGCCCTCCCTCATTAAATACAGCCCACCTTCATTAAATACAGCCCACCCTCATTAAATACAGCCCTCCCTCATTAAATACAGCCCACCCTCATTAAATACAGCCATCCCTCATTAAATACAGCCCTTACTTATTAATACAACCCTCCCTCATTAAATACAGAATGTCCCTCGTATAAAGTCACTGTACTATCATGGTGGAGGAAGACCTGTAGCACTATCACTAGTAATGGCCTGATGTATTACTTGAGGCACTGTACTGACCCGGTGTATTACTTGAGGCACTGTAATGACCCGGTGTATTACTTGAGGCACTCGTAATGACCCGGTGTATTACTTGAGGCACTGTAATGACCCGGTGTATTACTTGAGGCACTCGTAATGACCCGGTGTATTGAGGCACTCGTAATGACCCGGTGTATTGAGGCACTGGTAATGACCCGGTGTTAATGTAGTGATCCAGTTTGCCAGATAAGATGCTTGCAATGGCTCATAATTGTTACTGTTCTTGTGTGGAAATTTACAGATCAAATATGCTACTCAGAGTGAACTGGGCTTTTGTGTGACAGGCCTTAGAGTCTTTCATCCAGCAAGTGGTCGCTTGATCACCGAACTACGACCTAATACCTGCAAACAACTCTCCATCTCTGAAACACTTGAAGGTTAGTTGGTTCTCTGTGGACCCATGTATGTGAATGTATGTTCTTGGCTGTTTTGTATGTAGACGGTAGATAATGTACACGTCACCTAGTGTCAGGTTAGGCACTCCCGGGTATGCCCAGAAACTAGATGGGTGAATGTGCATATAGCCTCATCTTAGACAGGGGATGACCTCTATAAGCATAACAGGCTTCCTGAAAGTGGTATTTCTGTCCTGCACATAATGTTGCCTATGTATCTGTAAGTGTCAAATGACAGCATCCATGTTATAAATATGGTGTGAGATGTACTCACCTCGTGCTTGCGGGGGTTGAGCTTTGGCTCATTGGTCACACCTCTCGACTGTCAATCAACTGGTGTACAGATTCTTGAGGCTACTGGGCTCTATCAAATCTACATTTGAAACTGTGTATGGAGTCTTTCTCCACCACATCACTGCCTAATGCATTCCATCTGTTAACTACTCTGACACTGAAAAAATTGTTTCTAATTTCTCTGTGGCTCATTTGGGTACTAAGTTTCCACCTGTGCCCCCTTGTACGTGTTCCACCCATGCTGAAGAGTTGTCTTTGTCCTCCCTGTCAATTCCCCTGAGAATTTTGTAGGTGGTTATCATGCCTCCCCTTACTCTTCTAGCTATGAGTGATACATTTTTCTCATTGGCACAAGAAAACCACCATACTATTCATCAATTGTAGCGAAAACAATACTCCTCTGTGCACCGACAACTGTGGACTGGTGACCCCTTCACTCACACAGGATGTCACTACTACTCCCACTAGGAGTCCAAGTGGCTACTCACACGTCAAGGAACCATGCCTCAGAATTTCAATGGTAACTTATGCATTTCAGGCAACCATGCCTCAGAACATCACTGATACCTTACTGGGTGCACGGCATGCTTGTTGGTATCCTAACTAGAGTGATGCAGCACCCTACGGTACTCTACACATTCCTCACAGCTGGAGTTCACTTGCTGCTTTACACTGAAATAACAGTGATCCTATACACACACACTGCACTGCCTCACTGGTCACTTGGAATTCGCACTGCTCACCTGTACTTCTTTTTGATGATTGATGTTAACCAGGACTACACAATAATTTCACATGGATGCATAGAGGATGAAGAGGCTGCGAAGTGTAACCACCACTTGGTTCCTGAGCCCAGCCATTCAGGTAGACACAGGTAATCCCAGATCACAAACATTTTCTGAGTTTCAACTTTGTGCAAATTTTATCTCTGAATACTTCCCCGGGAAACTCTGATCTGTCACTCCTTCGTTACTTCAGATTCTTACACCAAGGCTCTTCACACCGCATGAAATACTCTTAATTCCTCAGAGCTGACCACATAACATCCTTTCTGATAATTCAGAGCGCAGTTTCGCCCAAGGTGGCTGCCTGCACTAGTCAGGGTTCCTTCAGTGTATCGCGTGACCTTAGGACAACTCATTGGTAAATTATGCTAGCAAGCGCCCATTTATCTTGCTTTCCCTCTCAAATCTTAGCATGAATCTCTCTGCAGCAGCACCTGGCACCCAGCATGTTGAATAAATGACTAGGATTCTTCCCCTGCAGAAAGTTAAAATGTAGCAAATTAAAATTTCTGGGCTTCCTGCCTCCTTATTGACATTTTAGAAATGAAGGAGGAAGCCATTTTACGTATTTACAGGGAGGAATATGATACTAGGTGGGTAAGGCATGTACGCAGATGGCACACATAACAGTACCTCACAAATGTACACAAGGTACTGTCAAGGTAAAATGGTACCACCCAGATATATAATAAGGTATATACTGGCATGATGATGGGTACTCTCAAATGTACATAAGGCACAGTATAATACAGTACTGTATAACCACTGCACTGCTCTGCATTAAAATACAACACATCCGTGGTGCACCGAAAATAAATTCTTTCAAACAAATTATTTTCTCTTCTTATGTTGTTAAAATGCAATCTCTGATCACGGAAAACTAAAAAAAAATATTGTATGTCACATACTTTAGCCGCGATGGAGCTGGGAAGTTGAGCATATTATGGGCGCTGAGCGATGGAGCGCTCAAGGTCGCTAGGCCCCGCCACCCAGTGGGGCGGCAGTTGCAGCGAATATAATGTTTCACAATTATTTTGATGTTTCTCATTCGTTTTTTCTCAGGTTTTGTGCTGTAATATTATTCAAAAGTGTGTAATTTGTGGAATTTATATAGTTCAATGTGTGGAACATCGCTATGCTCAAAATTATGGGGCTCATATATGTGACATGTATATTATATTCTACGATCAATCAAACAGTGTTTTTGCTGTTATTACACTATATACACACATTGTATATACCTATCTACATATGTGTTCACCATAACGAACCACTAAGTTGGTATGGTGAGCCCAAAAAACAAGAGTGGGCTGCCACACCCAGCCAGCCCTCCCTCACTCCTTCAACACCTAACTTGCCAACATTACTCCTCCCACAATACTGTTTGTGGTGTTATTACACTATATACACACATTATATATAAGTATCTACATGTTTTATTCACCATAACTATACTAATAAGCTGGTATGGTGTCCAAACAGCATAGTGGCCACTGCATGACAAGTCATACAGCAGACGACAGCCTCACTCATCACCTAAATGGCTCCTCCCAACATAAGCCTTTTGCTGTTATTACACTCTATACACATGTTATATATAAGTATCTACATTTGTGTTCCCCATAGCGAACCACAAAGCTGGTATAGTGATTCCAGACAATAACATGTTGCCACACACCAGCCAGCAGTCGACGCCACCTCTCCCTCCCTCCCTCACCAACAGTACTCCTCCCACTGCTAATTCTCACCACAATCCTGCTATTATCAGAATCCTGGTCACTAAATCATGTAAATGAATAATTTTCCACATGTTTATTTTGTAAAGGAACATGAGAAATCGTTTGAAGAATTTTAGATGGACGAAATAATGGCAGTGTGCTGTGGCTAGCGCTGTGAACATCTTGAACAGCATTTATTCACTGATATCTGAACATTGTACACAGTCTTTATCACAGTCAGGCTCTTCTGTAATACTATCATGGCTAAATAATACCAGATACATATATATTTGGAAAATTTTAGGCGATGCTGTGGTCAAAAGCTGAACAGCAATGCTGTTAGCTCATGCTGCATGCGCCAGCCTTGGTTGCTCACTCAGTACTGAAGCCTTCACACCCTGGAATGTTGCCCACAATTTTTTTTTAATGGCGTCTGTTTAGAAGAGCCCTGAGGAAGCTGATGTGAACCCCGTGTAGCTGTGGGAGTTTTGAATGATACGCTATACCAATAAGATCCCTGAGGCGCGTTGTGCACCACCCGTCGAGAGCCTCAAGGCGCGTTGCACAGTGCAGTGGTTAAGGAAGTAAACCTAATGAAAGGTTCATCAAAAAGACTTGTAGCATAAAAAATGGGGAGTCAGGGGCGAGCGAGGTCCTTGGTAAATAAATAATTCTTTATATTTATAAGAAATATAAAAGTGACTGGAGGAAGGATACTGGTGGGTGTGGGAACGTTAAGGATGAGTATGCAGGGGTTAAGGGGCAGGGGATAAGGGGAGGGGGTTAAGGGGCAGGGGTTAATTAGAGGGGGTTATGTCACATAATGGAATTAAAAAGTAGAAGTGTATTTTGAGATGATAAAATTGTGAAGATGATTAAGAGGTATAGTGGGAGAGGAGAGCAAGATACAACATTAAACCTTAAACCACGCAAAACATACATACTTTATACGATTTGACATAGATGAAGTTTTAAAACTTGCACAAACACTTTCCAATTTTTTGTGCATAATCAACTAAGCAAATGCTCCAACTTTGTCAAGTGATCACAATGTAACTTTGAAAAACAAGAGAATCATAAATAATTTTAAATTGAATATTGAAAATTCCAAATTTTCAAATCAGAATAAAAAATATAAACTATCACCAATTGTTTATTTGGTGTTATTATTCTCTCAGAATAGCATATGATCTTTATTTTCATGAAATTAGAAAATAAGTTTTCAGTATAGTTTACTATAAAAAAATTGTCAATATGGCATTTGAAATATGCGGTAAATTTAGACCAAAAAAAATTTATAACTCCAAACATATAGTGTTTGTAAAAAAAATCCATTGTCAAGGGATTGTAGAACAGAATCGGTCAAAAACTGGAATTTTAGAAGTTGCTCAAAGTTGAAACTCTAGTTTCAGAGATAATTGAAGTTGAAGTTATCGACAATGAATAACGGTAGTTCTAATTCGTTAATTTAATTGTATATTTTAATAAACATTTTTTGGCATTCGTACCTAAATATATGAAAGTTGTAGGTCAATAGGTGTTGAAGTCAAGAAAAAAAAAATCCCCAAAAACAAAATATAGGTATAATTATTATAATTATAATGATGATTTAGGGGATATATTTAGGGTATACTTTAAGTGAAAAAGCCCTAATATGGTCCCTAATCATCAAAATAACCCAAAGAGACAAAGAAAATAGAATTTGATATCTGAGAAAAAATCAGCCCCAAAAAAATTCAAAGTTCAAAGTTCCGTGAGTTGACTGACTTATTTGTTGACAATTTCATTCTATGTTGACATAGTTAGAGACGGGTATGCACTCTCCAGGATGTAGACGTTACAACAAAATCAGATAATAAACAAAGGAGAAAGAATAACTAAAATCTTAAAAAAAAAAAATTCCCCTAAAACAAAAATATTTTTGGGACATTGATGAAAGTAGCATATATTAGCATTGGACAATGTACGTATATGATATATAACAAAATAGAGCATAATAACATAGTTACTCATTATTATTATTTGTGGTGTTATGTATTACTCAGCAATTACTCGTAGCCTGGTGGATAGCGCGCAGGACTCGTAATTCTGTGGCGTGGGTGCGATTCCCGCACGAGGCAGAAACAAATGGGCAAAGTTTCTTTCACCCTGAATGCCCCTGTTACCTAGCAGTAAATAGGTACCTGGGAGTTAGTCAGCTGTCACGGGCTGCTTCCTGGGGGTGGAGGCCTGGTCGAGGACCGGGCCGCGGGGGCACTAAAGCCCCGAAATCATCTCAAGATATAAAGGCACCAGCTGTATATCCACTTTGTGGACACTTCTTACTACAATTCTTCTTCTTCTTTGAGTGTCGGACAGGTGCTTGCATCTCTATTACTGCATTATCCCCCAGTTCCAGTTATTAGGTGTTCTCCTGATCAACAAAATGCTCTTATTTTTTAAAAATTCGTCTGAAATCAATTTCTGAAAATATTTTGATGAAAGTTTCACGACACTGAAGCCAATAAGTTGGAGATTTGTTTAACATTTTTAAGTTATTTTTACATAATTCAAATATTTTTTGCTTTCGGGCCCCCAATATGTGCAATACTAGTACTAGTAGTATGAGTATCTACAGAGTAAAGATATTGGAAGTCATCAGATATTGATGAGGTGAATGCAAAAATAGAGAAGAGAAATGAAAAGGAATATGTGTGAAAAACTTGGTAAAAGGCCTGGCATTTGGCAGAGATGCGACTCCACTATTGTACTGGACTGTATTGTTCCCTCAAGTGTACGAGATATAATGAATAAAAGTGTGATTGATGTGGTTTGTGAAGGGTAATCTAATATGTCCAACAAGTTGGAGTGGAATCTGTTAAGAGGTATTGAATTATAATTTTAGAAATGGCCCAAATACTGCTGTTGATATTATGTTATTTTCTTGGAATGACAGAGTACATGAAGGTAGGATACATAGCCTCACAATTGTTTCATACATCCATTGCTTTAATATTTTGTTTTTATGGGTGGCTTCCTGCTCCACCCAAATGTGTGGATTGTTGTGTGGTAGTGTGTGGATTGTTGTAATGTGCTATCTGATATTAACTACATATGCCACCTGATGTTAATCTCATATGCTTCACTTTATTGGACAGGCTTGGATAAATTCTGCCAGAAGGACACCAATTTCTGCAGCAGTCTGTGCTGTGCTTTCGTCACACAGCTCATGTGCATTCATGAATGGTTCCTCAAGCAACGTAGTTACAAGATACGGTGTGGTTCCGTACTCATTTTGTATGATGCCGCTAAGCTAGAGACACCTAAAATATCAAGTAATGATTCTGTAACAGCAGCAGTAAATGGTGAACCAGGTGTGTGTGAGCTCACACCCAAAGTAAGAGTGAAGATGATAGATTTTGCCCATGTCCTTCATTCCTCTGGTGAAAGGGATGAAAACTATATATTTGGTTTGGAAAACTTAATTAAGTTTTTTAGTAATAAAGAACAGTAAAGCTAACTGATACATTGCAGTTAGTGTAATTTATTGTACTCTTCAAAGGCTTAGTAGTTGGATGGGCATAGATAAAGTGTAGTGTGCAATAGAGCCTTGGCTGGTTACATCTAATAATACAGCAATTTATTTTACAGTACATACGTATCTGTAAATATTAATCCATTGGTTTACTATATTTGTAAATAACGTGGTATTTAAAGCTACAGTAATATTTACCTTAAACAGTTTAATTGCATATGTTATTAAGTAATGAGACCTGTTGGTTAAGGTAATTGTAGCACTCTGGGAAATTGGAAAGTCAAGTATCATAATTCATTTAAAAACAAAATTCACAATGGGACTGCCAAGATTAGGCCGAGGCATTTTGACAAGTTTCGCAAGTGTGAGGATGGTTGATATTTCAATCTGTTCTCTTACAAATTATGTCTGAATTTGCCCGCTTGCCCATATGGCCGAAAATGGATGTAATTTGAAAATGAAAAAAAAAAATTAAAATAAATTTTGAACTTTTTTCCAAAACAGTTAAGGGTTCTCTGGTAGGTTAGGAGGGTAGGAAATTCTCCTAAAGTTTCAAAACGTCATGAAAAACGTTAATTGAAAGCTTCCTCTCCTAACCTTACCAAATAAGCCAGACAACTCAAACAGAAAACGGGACAGTACATCACTTTCGAAAACCGATTTCATTTCAAATTACGTCCGTTTTTGGCCATGGCGCGCATTCGAGCGAAAAGAAACTTTATTTTTAAGAGGACGGGTTGGATATTTGCCGTATGTGAGCGATCTGGTAGAATTACAAACTGTGATACTCTTAATTCATCTACTAATATAGTTTGCTCATGATCAGGGACATTTTTAGGAAGATAACTTATAGTATTAAACTGGCCAGTAATACACAATCATGTACCCTGTATTATGAAAAATATTATTTATATTTTAGCTTCTCACATTTCACGCGTTGCCCCCATTATAGTATTGTATAGTTCCCTCAACTCGAGGAATATCGGGCACAGCAGCGCCTTAGTCCTTAACGTACACGCTGGAGTTCTGTGGATCAGGTTCTTCCACCATTTCAAAACATTTCATTGTCATTCACTGAATCATCAGTTTAATATATTTTGAAAATGTAAATATTGTACACTTTGTATCACAAATGTACTTAAGCCTCATTTGGGATGAAAGTGGCAATTTCACTCAACTTATTAACCTAAATTGCTTTGCAAGTTACCAATATGATAATCAGATTATTTGTACTCTTATACTATGTATGTTTACGAGGTCAAGTGACTGCTCTTTCAACCATTATTAGTTCAATGGAATGGGTTTCTTTTAAATGTAAATATTCTAAGATGATAAAGGGTTCCTGTATGGAATCATGGAACCATTATTCCATGTATGGAATTGGCTTTTTGTAGAGGACAGTTCCATTTCTACAGTAGCCTGCTACCTACATCATCATTAACTTTTCTTAAAAGCTTCTCTCAGTACAAAATTTGTATTTTTCAAGATCTCGACACACATTTTAAAAACATTAGTTCGGAAAAGTTGTTTACATTACAAGAGAAAATTGTAAAGTATTACCAGTAGTTTTAAACTTGTGTACTTGTACCACATGGTCAGTTATTTATAGAATTTAAGCTAAAGTTGCACAGATTTTAGTGCTATTGTGATTTGTTCTGTTTTGAGTGTGTCCTGCAACTTTAGTAAGGATTGCGGTATGTAAGTAGTATCAGAGTTTAGACTTGTAATACTTTTAATAAATTTTAATATAAGATAACATTAATCTGGTCTTGCTTTCTTTTGTCAGCTGGGAAAGATTACCTTTTTTTTTTTTTTTTAACAAATTTTTGTATCCTCCAACTCACCTCAGAGAGGACGATAACAAACTTGAACTGTGCCAATAACAATACAATATTTTGACCAATACTTAATAATGGTGTTTGATATTAGAACTTTTAAGAAATAACAATGATGCTAATGATCTTAGGATTTGTAAATTATACCTGGCTTATACCTGGACTGGGTTCTGCGAGTTCTATCCCTCAACCCTAGTCTGGGGCAAGGCTCGACTTGTGGCAACTTGATCCAACCGTCTGTTGCTTAGAGCACAGATCCACTACAACCCGGTTGGTCTAGCACTTCTTGCAAGAAGACTACTTTTGTTCTGGAAATATTTATGCTTGCTGGGAGAGTATTGAATAGCCATGGACCTCCGATGTTCATAAAGTGTTCTCTGATTACACTTATCACATCTCTACTCCTCACTGGTTCTATGCTGCATTTCTTGCCATATCATTTGCTCCCGTGTAAATTAGTAACACATTTCTAGTAAATCATAGCACAACTATTCCTGCAGAATCCACTAAATGGAAGTATTAAATGAACTCCCCAGCAGTGATTACCAATTCATAACTCTCAGAACAAAAAAAAAAAAAAAAAAAAAAAAAAAGCATCGAATGTAATGAAACGCTGATTTTTGGGTAAGCCCCAGTAGCTTCCTGCACCTGTCTATGCTGAGATGATACCATCTACTAGGTCACATCAGCCGTGGAGTTCTATGGACCTACAGGAGATCAATGGTAGAACCTGGTCCCCTCAATGAGGCACAGGGAACGGTAACATTGATTTTCACTACCTAACCAGGAAAGGTAACCAGAAAAATCGAGTCTAAACAAACAACTGATGGCTTCAAAAGAAAAATTATACCTGGCTTATACCTAGAAACCGACACCTCAAACACGCCTGCAGAACTCCACTGACTATTTAAACAGTCAAAAGTCTCGCAACCATTGGGAGCATGTTCGCTCCACCACCTCCACTCATTTGGTAAATGGAGGGGAAGATGCCTTACTATCAGCTGGCATCTAAGCCCAGTTCTAGATGTAGACAACCAACTGACGACCTAGAAAGGCAGGAGATCAGGAAGTCACCGGGGATCACCCAGAAATTCAAGTGTCATTACAATCAACGCTGATTTTCTGGGGGAAGCCCATTGTAGATCCCTGAAATTAACTACCCACATTGAAAGAAAATGAATGGGAACTCACAAGGGAGGAGGAATTGCTCCAGGAATCATGATGAACATGAGATTCCCATCTGAGAGAGAGAGAACCCAAGGCCATACTAGGAGGCCGAGGCCCAGGAACATTGACTAGGTACCAGATCTCTGTTGGACTTCCAAAACCCATGCACCCAACTATTAGAACATGTTCGCAAAGACTGCTGAAAGACCAGCATATTTCCTAACATACGCACAAGGGTAGACTGTAGGCTGGCTAGGATTAATAACACTGCAGATGACCTAAGAAAGACGAGTCTTAGAACAGGGAGCCAAGTTAATAAAGAGAATCAACTCTCAAGGTATCCAAAGAGGCAGAATTAGTGGAATGAAGGTAGCAGTGGAGAGCCTCCACTAGACACAGTACATGATGCACCCCCAGCCGAACCAACCAAGCATCAAAGGACCCCACTGGAAGCCAACTGACTCCTTCAAAAGAAAAGGAGCTGGCTGCAGATGAACAGGCCCCCTCCTTACTACTACTACTTCTTGTCTTCCTTGTGCATCGGACAGGTGATTGCATCTCTCTATCACTGATTGCCAGTAAATTGGATGTGTTATAGTTATTATCAGTACAGGTTGCTGCCCGTCGCACATGCATTTATTTAAAAAATCATAAAAAATCCATTTCTTAACATATTGGGATGAAATTTTCTCGATGCTGATGCCAAATAACAGGAGATTTGTTTAAAATTTTCACTATATTTAATATTTTGAAAAGTCTCCACATGCACCAGGCCCCTTAAGGAAACAATCATTGACAAAAAGGGACACCATAAACTGAGAGGAAGGAACAAAGAAACGCAAGCTAAACCTAAAGGATCAGAGGAAGGGCAAATCACTCCTGAAGGGGAAGGAAGAGGTGCAGAGGAAGCCAAGGTAGACTTCACCAACCCCTCCAATTCTGGGTCCCTAAACACCAACTGGGCAGTTCTGGGGCATCCAACTGAGCACACAACAATAATAGCAATATGAATACATAAAGTGGTAGCTGCCTGATAAGCCCTAACCTCATCAGGAGGGTCAGGAAAAAAAAGTCACATGGGGAGAGCAACTTCTACGGACTCGAGGTCGAAGGTCTCACGAACCCAATGGGCAGCATGGTGGAGGCAGATCGAATGATCATTGCCCCATGGCACGGACGACAAACAACCTCACTCGCATGAAGCGAGAGTAGGTTTGGGGGAAATATCCATAGGATGACCAAACCCAAATGGGATTTCCAGGGCCTGAAGAGTAAACCAAGTATGACATTCAGGTACTGGAATAACTACGCCCTGACCCTAGAATAAGACTACACAGTCTGGTTCAACCAGACTGTGTAGGCTGGTTGAAGGCCAACCTCTGTGCGCTGAGAGAAGCACATGAAACCCCAGTGCATCCCACCAGCCGAAGTTGTTCCCAACCCAAGTTGGAAGTTCCCAAGACCCTTGATTCTCCTGAGCAAGGGCCACCACAAGCGAGGAAGGGAGGAAGCATCTCCCGAACACTTCAGGAAGATAATCCTGGCAATGCAAGGGCAGTGCTAGGGAGCACACAGGAAAGGTAACCCTGTGCACATGCAGCTCCACTCTCAAAACTTGACTCATGCTACACCACACTGTACAGGAAACACCACCAATTGGCTGAATAAACCACTCTGGAGCCAGCATGGAAGAGAAGCCACCTGGTACACACTACATCAGCTGTAGAACTAGGAGCTTAGATCGTGGTGAGCAGTGAGCTACCTTTTCCCAAACTACAGTAATTGGGAAAGTGGGGTGAACGAGCTTGTGCTGGTTCCAAGACAATTTGATTGTAACTTCTTTAGGTGGGTCTTGGTGCTTCAGTCTTTTGAATCCAGCAGTGATTTGACTTGCTAACTTTCTGGTTGCTATCCCAAGCAAGGTTATGAAAATATAATGTCGCCGCTCCCTGCGGTTCTGTGAGGGGGATCAAGTTCTGGTGCTGGTCCCCAGTAGGCCTACAGAACGCCACTGCTGATACGACCTAGTGGATGGTACCAACTCTGCTTTATAAGCCTATCCCTTCCTTTTACCTTTCTTTTTTTTCTTTCCCTTGTTTTCTCGTACGATTCCTTCTTATTCCTATTATTACATCCCCCCCCCTTTATTACACCTTACCTTCAGTTCCTGTTGCCTTGCTTTTTCTTCCTCTAAGATTTCCTTCTCCTCACCTCTCTCTTGCCTATTTATTGCCATTGCCTCCTTCCTCTTATCACAATCGACTTGATAATGGTCCAGGACGGACTGAAATGTCATCGTCTCTTCACTTTCTAGTGTGTTGTTTGGTCAACATTTTTCAGCCACGTTATTGTGACTCTTCATCTGCATTTGTAGTCCTTGGAACTACAAGAGGCTTCTCCCAGAAAATCATTCTATATTCATTTATTATGGATGGGGTTTAAAGAATCTAGGAGCCGCATTTATGCCACGTGCCTTTGGTTTACCACCCTTCA